CTACTGACACATTAACAATTAACACATAACAGTTTCACAGTTGTTCTGCCAATTAAAGGTTGCAAGTGAGGAAATAAAATAGGACCAAAGGCAAATCAAATCTCCTTTTTATTTCTCTTTGATAAATGCCGATGCTTAAATAAGAGTGCTGTCACAGTATTACATTTTAAGATCAACATGACTTTGTAGTTCAGTATTGTTAAATGGCACAACACTTTACAGTTAACAAAGAGACATTTTAACTGCTCGAGTCCAAAGTTAATATATGTTTACACATATATAAATATAATAGCAAAAATAAAACCTACCCTCAAATAAAACAAAAATATTTCATTACTGTGATAAAATCTTACCATATTACTAATCTACTGTGCTATAGGATCCTGAGTCAAAGTGCCCCTAGTATCACAAATGTATTGTGCTGACATAGCACACCAGTTATTACAGCTATTCAAGCTGCTTGCCACTGTGTGTCTTGGTGCCCTACAAGGATGTACTAGTTTGTCACTTTAACATGCTTACATTTCAGACTATCAAAATATAATTCAGAGAGGAATAAATGATAAATAAATTAAACTCACAAAACTGCAGATAAATCTTAATTCACTACATATTTTGTTTGTTTTAAACCAAGTAAACCAAAGGAACCCAGTATATACTGAAATGTTGCTTTTGCGATACTTATGCTAAAAAAATCATTACTGCAAACACCTTATTAGACCCAGGTCTGAATGTAGAGTCTAACCCATTCCCATTTATGTTAACCATTTTATATTATACTGTAATGATACAGTAGATATACATGTGGGAAACAGACTCAGCAGCATTCATTTCATGTAAAAAAAATGAGTATCGATTTGAGGTGCCTTACTCCTGCTTTACTTCATGGTTTACGTAAAACTTTTAACCACTCTGGAAGAAGTTTATTAAAATAGCAGCTATGTGGTTTTCTTCAGTGAGAACTAATTCCAGGGTATCCCCTCAGAGTTTATATAACAGAGATGAGAGGCAATGTACTGTAACTTAGTTTCAACTGGTAGCCTTATAACAAAAAGCCTCAAAAGGACAGCTATATTAAACAGTATGTGTATTGGATTTGTTAAACTTTTTACCTTGTCTTCAGAAATCTAGCAGCATAAAGGCACAACATACCTTTCAAGACTAATGCCCATCTACACTACAAAGCTAGGTCGACATATGCTGCATTAGGTCGAGTTAATAATGTATGTGTCTACACTACCGAGTCCCTTCTGCTGACCTAAAGGGCTTGTAAAGTCAACTTCTGTACTCCACCTCTGCGAGAGGCGTAGCGCTTCAGTCGACATCCACGTGTCGACATGGGGATAGTTCAGACACTGTGCTGTGGCCTCCAGGTGGTGTCCCACAGTGCTCCGCTGTGACTGCTCTGGAGAGCACTTTCAACTCCACCACACTTCAGCCAGTACACAGGAAACAACCGCCCCACTAGTAAAGTCCCGGGAACTTTTGAATTTTCATTTCCTGTTTGATCAGCATGGAGAGCTAGCCAGCACAGCTGACAATGGATGCTCGAGGCCACAAACGCGCTCCAGCATGGAGCACACAGGAGGCAGTGGATCTTATTGCTGTCTGGGGAGAAGAGTCTGTGCAGGCGGCGCTTCGAACCAGCAGAAGAAATGCTAACATCTATGCCAAAAATCGCACAGGCATGGGGAAGAAGGGCTATACCAGGGACACACAGCAGTGCCGCATGAAAATAAAGGAGCTTCGGCAAGCGTACCAGAAGACAAGGGAGATGAACAGTCGCTCTGGTTCTGAGCCATAGACATGCGGCTTTGATGATGAGCTGCGTGCGATTCTAGGTGGCAACCCCACCACTACCCCAAAACGCTCCGTGGATACCTCCACCACGGTAGGACACTTTCCCGCGTCACTCAGGTATTAACTCTTCTGGCATCATTGTGGCACACAGCATTGCAGCATAAGGACCAGGTCTGTACCCAGCGCTTGCAGCATCTGCTCCCTTTCCGCTTTTGTTACCCTCAGGAAAGGGATATCGCTTATGATCACCTAGGAGGTTTTAAATGCTAGCCCTTAAACTGCAAGCAATTCGATAAGTAATCTGCCCCATTTGGTGAATTCTGGGTCACACAACCACACTTTCCCATGAGTGCCCTGTTGTGTGCTTGGAAGGGATCACCGTGTATTACAGCCAGCATTTAAAAAGGGGAGGAGTGCGACCCTTCCTGTTTGTTTCACTTCCACCCCAACCCAGTGCCGCTTTTGTAACAATCAAACTATTTGTGGGTCTTTACACTCGTGCCTGTCCTCAAGCACCATCCAGGTTGCTATGGGAAAGGGCGCTGTGCTGAGGTTCCAACCATTGATTCCAAGTATGTCTTAACAAAAGCTGCAGCACAAGACCTCTCACCCATGCCTTGTGGCCTTACTCACCATGGCTGTAGCAGCAAACCGACTCTTGCAGTAACCAGCGATTCTCCTTAAGTTGTGACTTGCAGGGAAGTGCATTGAGGGGGTGTTTCTTTTATAAAAAGATTTAACCTTGCACCAGAAACAATGTATGCACTGTCAGTGCTACCCTCGTGCTTTGTATTCTTTGTAGCTGAAACCTTGTCCATAAGCGCATCCTCCACACACAGACTTTCCCAAATTAGAAGGCAGAAAAAGAAGACTTGGGAGGACATGTTCAATGAGTTAATGCCTCTGAGAGTGACAAGACAGAGCTCAGCACATGGAGGATTGCACTGTTGGAGAGCCGGCACAATGACCACAAGGACAGAAGAGCAGGCAGGGAAGATGAGCGTGACAGGCAAGATGAGATGGTGCCGATTATGAGGGAGCAAACAGAAACCTTGAGGCGTCTGGCTGAGGTTCAAGAAAGGCAGCTGGACACTAGAGTCCTGCTGCAGCCTCTGGTGAACCTGCTGCCATCGTCGCCAAGTTCCACATCCTCCTCTCCCAGACGTCCTAGGATGCGGGGTGGGGGAGGGGAGGGGCAGAGGGAAAGGAAGTCCGGTATCCCTTGCACTCAACTCCAGGGGAAGGTACAAGGACCAGAAGGCGCCCATTCCCACACTTTTGATGGTTACTGCAGTGCAATTGTAAGCAAGCTGTCCTTGTTTTTCCCCCCAGCCCCGTGTTATCAGCCCTTTTGCCCCAGGTTATCTTACTTTTCTTTGCTGTCTCTCAGTGTTTGTGAGCATAATAAAAATCAATGGATTGAGGAGAAAAGGCTCTTTACTCATTCAGCACACAGCGGTTAGCACGGTTGTAGTTTACAGGGGAGTACATGCAATGAATGGGACAGCTAGGTAAGTAACATCACACATAAGTGTCACATTACTGTGGGTCATCGATGAAACTAGTTTTCAAAGCCTCTTGGAGATGCAGTGTGCCTCGATGTGCTCTTCTTATTGTCCTGGTGTCTGGCTGCTCAAAATTGGCTGCCAAGCAATCTGCCTCCACCACCGCCATTCCGCCGGAAACTTTTCTCCCTTTGTTTCACAGATATTACGGAGCACACAGCAACAACAATGGGGATATTGCTTTCACTGAGGTCTAACCTAGTAAGCAACCTATGCCAGCGGGCTTTTAAACGTCCAAAGGCACATTCTACCACCATTCTGCACTTGCTCAGCCTATGGTTGAGCCACTCCTTACTGCTGTCCAGGCTGCCTGTGTACGGCTTCATGAGCCTTGGGAGCAAGGGGTAGGCTGGGTCTCTCAGGATCACGACTGGCATTTTAACATCACCAACGGTTATTTTGCAGTCTGGAAAGAAAGTCCCTGCTTGCAGCTTTCTGAACAGACCGGAGTTCCTAAAGATGCACGTGTCATGCATCTTTCCCTACCATCCCACATTGATGTCAGTGAAATGGCCCCTGTGATCCACCAGCACTTGCAACACCATTGAGAAGTTCCCCTTTTGATTTATGTACTCTTTGGCAAGGTGGTCTGGTGCCAAGATAGGGAAATGCATTCCGTCTATTGCCCCACCGCAGTTAGGGAACCCCATTGTGGCAAAACCATCCACTATGTCCTGCACATTTCCCAGAGTCACTACACTTCTTAGCAGAAGTCTATTGATTGCCCTGGCAACTTGGATCACAACAGACCCCACGGTAGATTTACCCACTCCAAATTGATTTTCCACTGACCGGTAGCAGTCTGATGTTGCAAGCTTCCACAGAGCTATCGCCAATCGCTTCTCAACTGTCAGAGCAGCTCTCATTTTAGTACCGCTGCACTTCAGCGCTGATGAAAGCTTTTCGCACAGTTCCATGAAAGTGGCCTTGCGCATTCAAAAGTTCTGCAGCCACTGCTCATCATCCCATAGCTGCATAACTATGTGGTCCCACCAGTCAGTGCTTGTTTCCTGGGCCCAGAAGCAGCACTCCACTGTGTCAAGGTGATACACAACTGTCGCCAGCATCTGCAATTGCTCTGCTCCATGGCTTCCAGCAGGGCTGCTTGCATGGCATCACATTATTCTGTATGGCAGCTCCTGCTTAGCAAATACTGCAGGATAAGGTGTGAGGTGTTTGTAATACTCACAACAACAGTGTACAGCTGAGCGGGGTCCATGCTTGCCATGCTATGGCGTCTGTGTGGGTAATCCAGGTTTAGGAAAAAAAGGCTTGGTTTGTTTGCTGTTGATTTCAGGGAGGGAGAGAGGTAAGTGCATCATGGGAGGCTAATACCATGTTCCCATAACCACCCGCGTGAATGTTTTGGTCCCATGAAGCATTGCCCAAGTCCAACCCAACATTCCACTCGGCTCCATGCACTGTGGGATAGCTACCCACAATGCCGCGCTCCGTGAGTCGATACAAGCCCTGCTAGTGAGAATGCGCTCCACTGATACAATGTGCATAGTGCGGCATGCAGAATCAACTTGCTTAAATCAGAGGCTCAGTGTTGACTTAAATAAAATCGACCTAATTTTGTAGTGTAGACATACCCTGAGTGCATTTCAAAATTAATTCAGGAGTCAGAAAAAGTTATGGTCCTTTGTGTCTCATCTCTGCTATACATACAATGTAGTCCTGAAGGAATATTTATTTCTAATATTTACACAGAGAAATTATTGCACTATGCTCTAAAACATATTTTAACAATTCAGAAATCCTAACTATTAAATATTATAACTTTTTAAAAAAGGAAACATCTTAACTTTGGCTAAAACACAATAGGAAAACTGTGTTTTTTCATTATTGCATCTAGAAGTTCAGTGTGGCACAATAAAATGTTATCTTTATTAATTCCATAGCAAAGTGGATGTGTAGTTCACAACTGAAGTTAGCAGACAGCCTTTTAGTTTTAAATCTAGTCTATCCATGTTTTATATTTGTTCATTTGTTCTATTAACTCAGCCCAAACTCAGTGCATAAAGCAGCAGCTAATATGTAAATTGTCTAATTTCTGGGTACTCTTAAGGAGATTTCACTCACATATGCAGTTCAGACAGCTGCTGAAAGAAGCCAAGTTACACAGGAATACATAAATATCTCAACTTAGCATTCAAGGAAGGTCAAGCAGGCACCAGTTGTGCTTTCACTAAACATGTAGAGATGGATGGGTAAAATCCAGATGCTTAGAGGTTATCTGGGGCGCTGGTTGGCTAGAAGGAAGTCCTTGTCTCTGCACATCAGACACAGTTTCAGATTTCTAAGGGAGCCACCAGCAGTGAAGAAAGCCCAGGTACCCATAAGCATCATGATAATGTAAGATGGCACTAGGCTGCCTTCGTACTGCGGATTCAGGAAAGTCTGCAAAAGGAAAAGAAAAATCATAGTTCAGTTGAACAGCAACAATTAAATTAACAATCCAAAGTTCTTTTAATCAGATGAGATCTTAGAAATCCAGGCTGCCTGCTCTGCATGGATACTAACAAGCTAGGGGGACTATTTTTAATATGTTGAGAGTTTGCCAAGTATCTTGGCCAAAATTCTGCATTTGGCAGCGCCCTAACTGCAGCTCTTCATTGCAGATGTTGCTGCATTTCAACAGTTAGCCACTGCGTATCTTGTGGCCCCAGACTATTTTGTACCGAAAATGCTTACGAAAGACTACTTAAAAACAATGGGGTAGGCAAATAATGCAAAGGACAAATTTATCCCGACTAGAAAATTATTGCATATTAAGAATCAGACAAACAATTGCTTGAGTGAAAATACTTGTTTGGCTTTCACCCTACAAATAATTAGCATTTTCGTTTGATTGTTAAAGCCATGATCATCAACCCTAATCAGAAATTTATTCCATTCTTCCCCTCCCCTCACATTAATCTAGCAGGCTTTAAGAATATATAATGACAGGTGAACTCACCAGACCTGATACCAGCAAATGGCTCAGGATGACGAGTGCCAGTGCCCACCACTTCTTCTTTTCACAAGCATCAAAAAATACAATGCCCCAAAAAATGTGCAGCAGAACAATGGCCAAAGTCATGAATGCTGAAAAACAGTATATCATGAGTCCTCATTACTGGTAAGGCATTAAATGTACACACACACAGTGTTTTCATTCATCCACACAACCTCTGGTTCAAACTTGTAGTATGAGTATCCATTAATACCTGTACAACAGTCTACACAAGAGAACAAAAAACTCCATGTATTTTGCACACACATTAGCAACAGCTGTAAACGTAATATAGCTAGGCAGCCAAAAACACACACTTTTACCTAAACAATTGGTTCTGATGTGCTTATCCCAGGACTTATACAGCATTATAGCAAAACTGTTCACACAACTGATCGGATCTACTGCTCCTCCTTCACTATGCATAAGAAATAGGGACTGTTTTCCTTGTCTTCCAGCGGAGGATTTCAAATCCATATTTTGGAAGAGGTAGGGAAGTGGGTAAAAGTTACATTTATAACCTGAAACACATTTATATCCTGAAGCAAAGACAAAGAAAAAAATAAATGGGTTTTAAACTTCAAAACTAGTTGAAAGAAAGACAATCCTGCTTATTAGTATTGTACAGCAAAAAGGACAAAGGGACTAAAGGCTAGGTCCACAAAAGAACTGAGGCACCTAACTGACAAGGTAGGCACCTCAATCCAACATTTATGTGCTACTGAGATCCCCCAAGTTTCTGCTCAGCTGCTGCCTAGCTCTGTAGGTGCCTAAAGTCAGAAGGCACCTAAATTTTCACCATGAAAGAATCCTGGGTGCCTAAGTTTCTGCCTGTGAGCACAACTGCCTCAGTCTAGGCACTTGGGCAACTATCTTGCACCTCAGCCCCAGCGGATTCTCAAAATAGGCTTTCCGCCGTTTATCTTGTCAGAGGGGACTGATATGGTAGGCATGCTCAGAGCACATCAAATCCCACACAAAAGGGAGTGGGGGCAGAAGAGGAAGTGCCCCTGACTTATAACTTTTATCTCAGTGGTTAGAGCACTCACCCAGGATATGGGCAACCTAAGTTCAATTCCTCCCTCTGCCTGATGTGGAGAAGGGATTTGAACTGGGGTGTCTCACCTCTTAGGAGAGTGTCCTAACCATTGGGGTATGGAGTATTCTGGGGTAGAGCTCTCTCACTCCCTCCTGTTGAAGCTGTTTCACTGCATAAAAATAATTAAATACTCAATGGAGCAGGGGGACTGGAACCTGGGTCTCTGTTTCCACGTGAGTGCCCTAACCAGTGGGCTCTACACTCACTTCCATACTCTCTGGTCCAATTACTATTTTTAAAAATCAAATTTACTTCTTACAATTATTGCTGTTTATTTCTGCATTTCACGTAGCTTGGGCCATAATTATACAGGGGCAAATGCTGCAAGGTTTGTATGGTCAAACTGCAGAGGAATAATTTAAATGCAAATAACTATTTTGCTTTATAGTATTTAGGGTTTGGGTTTTTTTTTTTTTTTAAATAACCACATAGTATAAATTTCTCTACATTTTTAGAAAATGTAAACTTCAGGCATAATCCACATGGCAACACCCCTTTAAAAAGAAGCCATTTTTAAATATTCTCAAGTTTAAGACTTTATACAGGTGCTATGTACTGGAAAGGAAAATCAAACAAGACATTGGGTACCAGTGTTAGTTCCCAACTCAGTCAAGTAAACATACAAGGACAATTTTTGGATACCCTGTGATTTAACTAAAACACAAATAAAAATAAATACAATAATACAAAAACCACACAAAAATTCCCCATGTTTTTCCCCCAGGCCCCACAAAAAAAATATCAGTAATGTGATGGACAGTCATATGCCACTTTAAGATGAAAATGTTCAAATGCCAGGAATAATGCAGGCAGGCGCAGGATGTCTTGCAGTAGGTACCAGACAACACACCACACTGAAATTTCACTTTGTTAACATGAATGTTTTGTTAAATACAGAGAATACTATTTTTTCCTGATAAACAATAAGGTAGTGAAGAGGTGGCTTGAAAACATCAGCGAATCAAACATGCCAACTAGGCAGTTACATAATTGGATGAAGTGACTGTTCTGGTTTCCAAAGGATTAGAAACATCACATATGTTCCTTTAGGAGCACACTATGCTTACAGTTTCCTTTCAGGAAAGGTAACTCAAATGGGAATGAGCTAGTGAAGAAAAAAAGAGTTAGCTGTGTTTTGAACTTGAACCAGAGAAGAATAAAGCTTCCCTTTACAGCCCAAAGGAGGAAAACTGGGAAAGATCTTACTCCAGAGGAGTCCATTGACTTGGTCCACGCTACTGCATGCACAAAGAAAGCAAACTGATATAGGTATTGTCATAAACATACAGCTAAGGGTAGCATAAAATCCCTCCTTTACCTGTAAAGGGTTAAGAAGCTCAGATAACCTGGTTAGCACCTGACCAAAAGGACCAATAAGGGGAGAAGATACTTTCAAATCTATGGGGGAAGGTTTTTGTTTTGTGTTTCTTTGTGTTCTCTCCGGGTCAGCGAGGAACCAGGGCAGGGAAAATACATCTCCTAAACCCATATCTGAACTAAGCATCTAAGATTACAAATTGTAAGTAATAGGAAGGAAATGCGTTTGATTAGTTTTTGTTTTAGCTTGTGAATTTTCCCTGTGCTAAGAGGGAGGTTTATCCCTGTTTTTTGTAACTTTGAAGTTTTGCCTAGAGGGGAATCCCCTATGTTTTAAACCTTATTACCCCGTAAAATTACCTTCCATCCTGATTTTACAGAGGTGTTTCTTTTACTTTCTTAAAAAACAGAACTTTATTATAAAGAAAAAGAATTTGACTGGTTTTTAAGTGTCCTAAAAACCCAAGGGTCTAGTCTGTGCTCACCTTGTTTACCTATCTGGTTAGTAGATTATTCTCAAGCCTCCCCAGGAAAGGCAGTGAAGGGACTTGGGGGGAAGAGACAGGAACTCCAAGTGGTCCTTTTCCTGAATCTTTGTCTAACTCACTTGGTGGTGGCAGCAGTACTCATCCAAGGACAGGGAAGGATTTGTGCCTTGAGGAAGTTTTTAACCTAAGCTGGTAGAAATAAGCTTTGGGGATCTTTCATGTGGGTCCCCACATCTGTACCCCAGAGCGCAGAGTGGGGAGGGAACCCTGACAGGTACCAAGAGGATTTATTGTTAAATCTTTTGAGAGAACCCACAATAGTTAGTGTTAGGTTTGTGGGTCAGGGCCGGTGCAACCACTAGGCGAACTAGGCGGTCACCTAGGGTGCCAAGTGGCCAAAAGCGTGCTCCGGGAAGGCGGTGGAGCGGAGGTGAGCTGGGGAAGGGGAGCGCGGGGAGGGCCGCCTGCAGCAAGTAATGGGGGGGGGGGAGACGGCGCGCAGGGGAACCGCTCCCCGCCCCAGCTCATCTCTGCTCCGCCTCCTCCCCCTCCCCTGAGCACGCCGCACCATTCTGCTTCTCTCCCTCCCCAGCTTGCGCGCCAAACAGCTGATTGGCACCGCAAGCCTGGGAGGCGGAAGAAGTGGCGGCGGCGGCGTGCTCCGGGAGGAGGCAGAGCAGAGGTGAGCTGGGGCGGGGAGTTGCCGCACAGCGGGGAGTTGCCGCACGCGGCTCCCCAGGCTGAGGGAGGGAGGGTGCTGAGGGGACCTGCCGCAGGGGGGGTGCTGGGGGGGGGGCGAGGGGAGCTGCCGCGGGGCGGGCGCCCAGGGGAGGGGGCTGAGGGAGGCAAGGGGAGCTGCCGCAGGGGGGGCACCGAGGGGAGGAAGGAAGGGGGCCGGGGGGAGCTGCTGGGGGGGGCGCCTCAGGGCAGGGGGGCGGGGTGCTGCTGCAGTGGGGGTGCCTTGGGGGGGGCCACGGAGCTGCAGCAGGGCTCCAGGGTCGGGGGGGGCGGGCGGGTGCATGGTGGAAGTTTCGCCTAGGGCGTGAAACAACCTTGCACCGGCCCTGTTGTGGGTCATGTATATTTGTTAATTTTCGAAGTCCTCTAGTATATTTGTACAGACTCTGCTCATATTTGTGTATAAAAAGGTGAAAATAAATCTTTGTTTTTAAATGTTACCTCTTGAATGTACTACTTAAAATGGAAAGGTACAAAAAAAGTCCAGGTTGCGTAGCTTGGGTTGCTTTTAGGACATGCTAATCCAGGGGTTCTCAAACTGGGAGTCGGGACCCTTCAGGGGGTTGCAAAGTTATTACATGGGGTGTCACAAGCTGTCAGCCTCCACCCCAAACCCCACTTTGCCTCCAGCATTTATAATGGTGTAAAATATATAAACAAGCATTTTTCATTTATGGGGGAGGGGGTCACACTTAGAGGCTTGCTTTGTGAAAGGAATCACCAGTACAATAGTTTGAGAAGCACTGTGCTAAACCATAAATACGAGAGTTATAGGAAGGAGTAAACAAAAAAGGGTGTTTGATCCATTTTAAAATTACTAAAATCTAGTGATCACTGACACTGGATTGTAAACATCTGCTTTAAACAAACACACACTCACTCATCCAGCATACTACCATGAAATATTTAGACACTATTTATGTAGCACACAGCATATATTATGCTCTGCTTATGCAGTCAGGAGATACTGGGTGCTAAAATGCATTGGAAAATTGTTAAATTTTGGAATAAAGTATTCAATTTGCTTTTTAACTGATGTGGCATCTGATTTTCAGAATTAGAGACCCATGTTGGATGTACCTAGCTTCCCAGTGGCATGCTGAAAGTGCCATAATTTAATAACCAAATTATGAGCAGCAGAATGAGCAGTTATACAAGAGGCAGCAGCATTATTATTTGACGTAAAGAAGCATCCAGGGGTTCCATTTGGGATTAGGGTCCCATTATTATTTTATTATTTAAGTTTATACTGTAGTATCACCTAGAGTTGTCAATCAGGTTGAACACCATTGTGTTAGGAGCAGTACAAACATACAATAAATGAAAGTCCCAGCCCCAAAGAGCAAACAGACAAATAGTAAGAGAGAATTTCTGTCCTCAAAATATTACAATCAAAATGAGGAAAAAGATGGGAGAGGATACAGAGGCACAGAGGGGGGAAGTGGCTTGC